AGGGTTGTTTCTTTCACTGTATTTGATGCGAGAGGTGAGAGAGGGTCTTTGTGACGTGGCGTAGGGGGCGAAACATACGGCGTTGATGGGGTGATTTTAGGGTTTGTAAAGTGGTTTGATTTGGGGGGGAGCGGTTGATCGGAGACACCGGGCGTGGCTTGGGGGGCTAGAAAGGTGGCCGTTTTGATCGAATGTGTGTTTTCTATTCTTGTATTCCGTTCTTGTTCATTGAAGGCTGAGGGGGCTAGTGGACTTTGAGCGTTGGAGACCGTTGGGTTTCTTGTGAGGACCGTTGATCCGGGTGATGAACGGCGAGGAGACGGGCGGAGGGGAGTTTGGTGGCGAGAAATCTTTCGGCGCGGAGGGACCGGGGTGCGATTCCGTTTCGGGGCGGGTGGTTGCGGGGTCCGGGCTGTGGGGGCCCGGAGGCGGAGGGGGGGAGTTGGGCGTGGGTGTTGAAGAGGTGCCGGCGGGATGAGTGGTGACGACCTGTATGCAGGTTGTGGAGACTGTTGGTTTGATCATGGGGTATCTGTGTGGCTGGCTTTACGCAAAGCTCGTATTTTTTTTTTTAACGAAGAGTGAGGTCATTTGTCAGAAGCAGGGGGATTTTGGGATGCGATTTAGTTCTAGGTGGTCTGTGTTTGTTTGACGTTGCCTGTAAGATGTAAGAGCTGCTGACATAGAAAACTGAGGGACTGGCCCAGTGTCCCTTACGGTGGATGGGTGGGTATTTAAAAGAAGCACTTGAGGGGGACTTTGGTATTTCTAAGAGCAAGCCAGTTGCAATCTCGGTGGGTGGGCTCGATGCGGCGAGCAGCCCCAGTGTGTACGAAAACGTAAGTCTGGTTCCTCACATCTTTGCTCAAAGTGCAGGTAACATTATCTCAGTGCTGAGCAAAGTTCTTCATTTATCGTTTATTCATGAGAAATACCCAGCAGGCGGGACAGAGACCTTAGTGATAGGATACAACTTCAAGATAGGGCTTCAGAAACGAGAGGTGAGGTGTCTAGCTGGGCGTCCTAGATGAATCGTATCTATGGCTTCGCAGGGGTTTCTCAAGAAATCTCGCCATTAGGCGGTGGCGTCCTCTAGCCTGTGGAAGCCTAGACTTGGTTGAGTCGAAAGTAGACGGTGCTCCCTCTATGGGTTTTTACATTGGCTTGTTGCCTCAAATCTGTTCCTGACTGGGCAGGTTCGGCATGTGCCTGCCAACCAACACCTTTCACTTGTATAGAACTTCGAGGTCAGGGGTCTGGTATGATGGGCACCTCAGAATGACACAAGTATGCGATACCGTCGGGTGCTTGGCCTCGGTATATTGAACCTTGGCTTCGATAATCTTTGTTACGCATCTTGAAAGTTGGTCGAAGAAGAGTGAGAAGAGAATGAAGACGGCCTATGATTAAAAGGCTGGAGGATTTTAGGTCTTAGGGAATTTAGAAATGAATATGCTAGATGGTAAATGCTATAAGACTATCCTCGATATAGAAATCCCTACCTTGTTAAGTGTCATCGTCAGACCTCTGTCACGTATTCATGCCGAATACACTCAGACTCGTGAAAATTGGTACGGCGTGGGATGCTGTTTACCTGGCATGATACCAAATGCTTTGGTCTTTTACTAATACACTGCTAAGAGCTTCCTCTAAAGCCGTCCTTCGGTCCTGGTGGTTTCGAGCTGCCGTAGCCGCCTGGCCCTGCCTCTTCCCCGTCTTGACCTTGGTCCCTTCTAGAAAGAAGTTGAGCGTGATGTATGCGCGTTGATATAAACCCCGGGTATCATCTCCGATCATTATAGTCTCTCAATATGCTCGATAAACCTTTGCCGGAGGCTTTTGACTATGACAGATTAAGTGGGAGAGACTTGAAGCAACATGACTGTTCACCTACGGCATTCACCGCGAACATCACTATCATCATTCACCGAAGCTGTTGCCTTTGTGCGATCTTCCTCAATTGTTGACATCGCTCACAGCTTTTGGCCCAAAGACGAACCATGCGATACAGGCACACACACCTTACTTTTGAACGCCACAAACTGTTGTCCCTTCCATGCACACGCGAGTGTCCCCTTCTAAGATTACGACCTACTACCATGACGCGTTCCCACGTAAGAAATCCTGTGCTCTTGTCTTTTGAGATACCTTCTGCTGGTTCCCAAATCTCAGAAGACCACGTCATTCCCGGGCCAGAGAACATCATACCCTGCCCCTTCATCCAGGTTGATCGACCCGCCCATCACTGCCAAGTTGGCAGGATCAGAAAAGTTCATGTCTGCCGGCCCGATGAACTGCCCCAAGTCATCCAGATCTCGCCACGAGAAGCCTCTGACTAGAAGATCGGGCTGATGAGGGAAGGCAGTCATATTGGAATGCGCGTGGCCGTGCGACATCCCACCAAACCCTTGATGATGCTCGGCATGTCCACCACCAAGGCCTCCATATCCATTGCTGTTACTGGCGTTGGCCGAGCTCGGTACAGTCGGTACATGCACCGACACTGACCCGGGGCCGCCTGTCCCGTTATGGAGACCGAACGCCGGACAGGGTACGCCGGCGTTGGCGGCATCGACGGCGTGACCGTCCGGACCGGATATGGTGATGTTGGACTGTAGGGTAGGCCCCTGGCTCCGTTGTCGCTGTTCCTCTGGTTTACTGCGCCATAGTAGGGATAGGAGGCGTGCATAGCGCTGGCCTAGGCTGTGCGGGCTCAGGGACGAGCGTTGGAGGCCTTCGATTGTGACGTTTATTGAGCGGCGGACGCTTTCTGAGGCTTCGCTTCCTAGGGCACCGGCGAGACGGGCCTAAATTACGTCAGTCCACGAAAGGTACGAGAGATGGGTAGAGGGACCGATGGTTGAGTGGCATCGCAGTTACCTTGAAGAGAAACACGGCCGCGTAGATTACGTAGAGGTAGTATTTTAGCGGCATGTACCTCAACCCGGTAGCCGGATCTACAGAAGAGTTGAGGATGTTGAGAAGAGAGTTGGCGGCGTCCATTGATTCGTATATGAAGCGGGCATCGGGGGTGCTAGCGAGGTCTGCAAAGAGGGGGCTGCCTATTGTTGTCGTCGTCGGTGGCGGCGGCGGCGGTGGTGGTGGTGGTGGTGGTGGGGGATGTCTCGCTGGTGCGGCATGAGAGCCTGTCGTTGATTCATGTCCATTGGGCTGCTGAGTCTGGTCCTTTGAGGACTTGGTCTGCTGTTGGCTCTGTTGATAGTGGTGTTGGTTTTGCTGCATCTGTTGCTGCTGCTGTTGCCGGGCTTTGGTGATTGCGCGGTTGATTGTTGCTTGGAAGGCGAAGGCGTTGATGTAGAGGCGGAGGAATTCGTAGGAGAGGTTGAGGCCTGCTTTTATTAGGGGTGTGACTTGAAGTTGAGTGTTAGTTGAGCTCATTGATGGGGCGTGAAGCCTGAGGGCGGGCTTGAGAAGGTTGTCGACTTACAGTTGAGGCTGCCCCAGACGATCTTCCATTTCCTTAGTACGGCGAACGAGTCATCCTATGGGTTGTTAGCCGAAGGTGAAAGGGTGGTACTCGAGAATGATGAACTTTGGACTTCGGAGTAGAAAGATAGTCGGGGTCGACTTACTATATACCTCACGTACTCTCCGCCTAGGTACAGCTGAGCTCTATGACTCGATGACGAGTATAGTATATCATGAGCGTTGCTGAAAAGCTGTATCAGCTCAAGCTGAGCCTGGAACAGCTGTCCGAGATTGTCGGCCCCGGCTTCTTGTATCCTCAGGGACGGGAAGTCCGCAGAGCGTGGTACTGTCGACGGTCCCGGCCCACGGGACCAAAACCCCTTGCCCACACGGATCGATACTTCCCTGTCACTCATATAGCAAGCTGATAATCCAAAGGTACGAACGTCAGCACGACTGCCTCATGACTGGTCTCCAAAGAAAGGCTTACCAGCCCAAACCAACCTCTTCCTCCGAAACGTCTCCGACGACGGGCTTGTCTTATCCGACAGCAGCCCCGTCTGCTCCAGACTCTGCAGGTACCCCAGCCGTATCGCGACGCCAATCTGCATCCAAGCGCCCTCGTCCTCTTCGCCGCGCCCGACGGTAGGCTTCTCCTGCAGCCTCTGTGGCGCCCACTGAGCGAGGATCAGGAGGGCCTCGACGGCGCCGACGGTGGTGGACCCCTTGTAGATGAGCTTGGAGATGAGGGTCTCCATGTACCGCGAGCAGGCCTCGTGGACGCGGGTCATGGAGGGCTCGTCTTTGGAGGCGACTGTGAAGATTGCGGTGACCAGGTGGGGTTCCGAGTCGATGAGAGAGGAGACTGTGGCGGGGGTATGGGTGAGGATGCATTTGTCTGCTACGGGGAAGAAGGGGTGGAAGTGATCAATGTATCTGGTGTGGTGGTTAGCCTTAGTGTGACAATATCTTGAAAAGGAATGAGTGAGTGGGTGAGGGATGACATACAACGTGAGTAGACGCGAAGCAACAGGTAGACTTAGGACACCATCTGATATGGGCGGATAATGGGTCGCCGCAGGCGTAGATGGCTTGCGTGATCCTTTCCTGGGACTGCACTTATCCCGTCCCGGCGCATCACTCACAGACAGATGCCGCATATCGTCACGCCGTTCCTCCCCATCAAGGTCAGCAACCTGCGCCAGGAGATTCAGCGCGTCAGAGGGGTTCAACAAGTCACTGGAGGTGATGTGGCCCTCGATATCGCCGGAGCTCTTGAGAGACCGGGTCGACCGGCCGCCGGGGCTGTCCGGCTGGGAAGTGGAGCCGGGCCAACTCGCCGGCCTCCCTGCCGGGCCGTCATCATCCTCTTCGGGGGAGCACGACCAGGGCTCGCCGCCGTCGTTGTGGTGCCGAGAATCCGCCGGGCTGGTGGAGCGCTGATGGTGCATGTGTTGGTCTTCTCGGAGGTTCGTCGCCGAGGAAGTGCCGACGTCACCTCCTCCCGGTCCCGAGTCATAGGCTACCGGGCCGGTGACGGTGTCCGAGTGTTGCTGTTGCTGTTGTTGTTGTTGGTGGTGCGGGAAGACGACATCGTCACCTTGTGGTAAGCGGACAAACTTACGGGGCCGTCGACCGCCTCTTCTCGATGTTGCTAAGACGCATTCTTTTTGTTCTCTTACACAGCGACGGCAGGGTGGTATACCTGGGTTACCACCATAATCTCTACATGAGGGGGGAACAAGGTGGTGTTAGTCAAAAGATGAGCTGGGCCTTGGCAGGTGTTTCTCATGAGTTCTCCAGCCAATCACTCTTGTCATTAACCCGATTCCCGGCCTGCAAGCCGTGGCATGTTGATGTACATGTGTGTTCATGGACATAATTCATATGAGAGAGGGGTAATTGGTACGAAAAAGAAGTTTGCTCACAAGTCACATCTCGTCTTCCTGAGCCGGCAGGAGACGCAAGCACGCGATACCCGCCTCTCTTTCCCAGTAGCCGTCACCGCGTGAGGCAGGCGGTGGTGCTGCTGCTGCTGCTGATGCGGGGGACTGGCCATCGTCGTAGAAGGCCGGCGGTCGGTGACGGGGGCGGCGGCAGCGGTGTCCACAGACATGGTGTTGCGATTATTACGTCGGCGACTCGGTGTGCTCGGTTTCTCCTCCTTCTCTTACTCCTCCTCCTCGGTCCAAGCGTGTGGGCGTGAGGGGGCAGCGGCGGCGGCGGAAGCGGCAACGGCAGCGCGCGGTGAATGTCGGGCCAACGCGGCGGTTGGTGATGGACCGATGGTGTTTGGACTGAGTGGAGCACAACTGAGGGGGGACTCTGGGGACTCTGGAGGCGTAAGAGCCCGGATGAGAAGGGGGTAAAGAGAGCATCGGCACGGCAATCCAGGGCTGGTCGTCCGTCATCCACGGAAGTACGGCAATGTGGCTGGCTTGTTTCGGCGATAGTTGGGGGGGTTTTAATGTTTTTTTTGTCTAGCGGTGGTATTGTCGGCGTAAAATTCGATGCATGACGCACCTTTTGATGCTGAAGGTTTACGCACTACCCTGTTTTGCGACTCCAAAGACTTCACAAATGTATACTTTTTAGGAGTTGGGTATAATTCGCAGGTATTACCGATCGAGAGCTAGCTCGTCCCAAATCCCCTCTTCCTTTGAACTTTGAGTTTATGGCGGCATAGCTAACTTCTAAGGGGGGAAACGGTAGGGAGTACTTGACAGCACTTTAGAATCTGCACTAATACTATCCGTACTAACTAGCATAGTCGTAGCTGCATAGGATTCGAGACCCTGTTAAACTCTCTACAAGGTTGGTCTCAACATCCATGTCCAATCGCGTGGACATCACCAACAAGACAAAAAAGCTGCTGCTCGTCATCTGCGACGGAGCAGAAACGATTCCATTTTCTTTTCCCAAGTAATAGCGTTCCATTCGGCGAATCATCTCTATTATTTGCCTCGGTGGGTTAGAAAAGTCTCGGAGTCTCCTCCCTCTCATTCGGCACTCATTTCAACCCGCCGGCGAGGACCAGCTCTTGGCCAGTAAGATATCCAGTCTTGACAAACCTGGGGGCGGACGGCGATCACGGGTCAGCACAAATTGAGCAAGACCAAAGAGGCACCACAATAGTTCCCGCCGGTCAGTTCGGTAACTTACATTACGACAACGTTTGACACTTCCTCGGGAGCGCCTAATCTGTGGACCGGGACGCTGGCAGCAATGGCCAGCCCCGGATCTGTGGACCTCAACTCCTCAAGGTCATCTTTGCTATCCCAGGTTCTATAGGGTGCTCTTGTCAGTTGAATGCCAAGACGTGACTACACACGACAGATGTCTGCTGCTCACGTTGATTTCGGTGTGGCAATCATGCCAGTGGCCCCAATCATGGCGGGCAGAACCTGAGAAGCAATGTCAGCACAGCTCAATAAATAGTCCATACATCACTCGACCCTCGGCCCGAAGACGATGAATGTTGAGGCTTACAATGTTCACGGTAACACCCTCCGGTGCCAAGAACGTGGCCAAATTAAGACCCATTGAGCTGCGGCTTAGAGTTAGACAAGCTTCGGCCCCCATTTCTCGGTCTCGCCGTAAACGACCCCAGAAGACCGGGACATCCCGCCGGGAAACTAATGAAGAAGATATACGAACATGCCAAGAGCGGATAGGCACATCTCAAAAGGTAAGAAGAAAACAGAGGACTGGGCAAATACTCACCAGAGAGCACCCTTGGTAGCGGCGTAGTGACACCCGTTGATTCCCCCACCGCGGCTCGCAATGCTGCCCACGAGAACGACACGGCCCCACCCCTGAGCGCGCATGCCGGGCAGGCAGGCCTTTGTCACGACGAACTGGCTGCGGGCGTTGACCTCCATCATCTCGTCCCAGTCGTCCTCGCCAATGTCCGCCGGGTCGCGGATCCGGCGACCAAGGCCGGCATTGGCGACGAGCACCGAGACGGCCTTGTGCTTCTGCGCGACCTCGCCGTTGGCGAAGATGCTGGGCACCAGGTTCCGGGTCGATTCTCTGGAGGAGAGGTCGGCCTGGAAGGGGACGAAGAGCTGCGATGGATACTTATCGCGCAGCTCTTGAGCTAGAGCATCCGCCTTCGCCTGTTCTGGATGTTAATATACCGAAGAGATTAGGCCCGTGGTTTGCGTGGGTGGCCTCACGGGCCGTAGACCCGTACGGTCCCCCATGCACCCGTGGCGCCCCTCCCCATCTGTCATCGGTGATGCCGTACCTGGCTTGACGAATAGTGTAATGCGACATCGCAGCCCTCTGCGGCGAGAGCATGGGCAACGGATGAGCCTATGCCACCACTGATCGCCGAGGAAGATTATCTGGTCAGCGGGAACATACGATGACAGCCTCACTAGCGGAGGGGTTCAAGGTGGGATGGCCACTTACCTCGCCCCTGTCACTAGAGCTAGGCGGCCCTTGGTGGTGTTGTCTGTGCTTCTAATGCTGTATTGGACCATCTTGACAGTTGGACCCTTGTAACAGACCTGCGGACGGTTCGAGACTTTTGGTATGCACCTTGATGATAGGTAGGTAACAGAGCACGGGCTATTCCTGTTCGAGAGGTACTCGTCGGCGTCGTGTCTGGACTAGGATATCTGGGCTATTCCGTAGGTACGGAGGTAGACATCCAAAGGCTTAGATGAGTTGGTTCATAAGGTCGATTGAAAGGGCCCTGAGTGAGGGGTTGGGAGAAGGGCGCGGATCGAAGGCCGAGCTTTGATAGCCGAGAATGTTCAATTGCCGCCGCTATCGGTCACAGTAAACTGGAGCATGAATCGCGGATGGCACCAAACATGCCACAGCACATCGTATTGTTCTCGTGTAAACGCAATGGCAAAGACGCCCTTTTCTAGTAAGGGACACTATTTGATGGCTACTGCAAGGCAATTGAGATCTTTCGGCAAACGAACATTGAACAGCTGACCTAGATCCATTCCAAAATGTTTTGGCATTTGCCGACCTTCAAGTCTTCTGACTGTTGAAGATTGTCAATTGCCGACGCTCAAGTCGTGACGCGGTCACAAAGAAGCTACAACGCCACGAATGCGAACCAGAGAGTCCAAACTTTCAGTAGCCGACGCGTCTCACCAGCAGAAACTCTGCCTGCGTCGGTTATCCAGAAAACCACTCCTTTGCTTGCGTGTCAACATCTGAATTGCCGTCCGATTGAGCAAGTTGCCAGAAAAAGTTTGACGCGATTGGTCTCGAGACGGCTCAGACGGCATTCGAAGTCTCCCCTTCCCGTAGTGAAACCCCAAACCCCCCGCAGAAATGCTCTACCCCGTGTTGTGTGGATTCCCGGGGAAGTGGTACTAACCACGTCGATCTTGATACTTGGCGTATGATCACGAACTGTCCGATCGTTTCTTGAATTGTGTCCATGTGTTTATAAACATTCACAGAGAACCTTCGGACGACAGCTTTCGCGGGGAAGCGTTCTCGTTCAGTTCAGACAGTGAGCTTATCGCACGCTCAAGGTGCAAGAGCCGCTTCTTTCCTACACGCTATCCTCTTCCAACTCCGCGAGTCTACAAAGACGATACCATTCACTCAAGATGGGTGAACTTCGAGGGCAGCGGCTTGTCTTGGCCGTCAGCGTTCTCACATCCTTGGGTTTTATGCTCATTGGTTATGACAATGGCCTCATGGGAGGCTTGGGTAGGTTATCTCTACAGCTACAACGAGTTGCCAAGAGTTGGATCACTTTCTAACGGTTCCCTTTAGTCAATGCTCCGGCATTCAACTCGACTTTCGACTCTCCGGATCCGACCATGACGGGTCTCATTGTGGCAATCTACGAAGGCAAGTCGACTTGACGATGAAAATTGGAGTCTATGGACGCGGTCAGCTGACTCTAGTACCTCTAGTTGGCTGTTTCTTTGGCTGTGTAGCAACGGCGATATTCGGCGAGAAATATGGCCGTCGAAAGACCATTGGAACTGGTTGCTCTATCATGGTCGTCGGTGCAATCATTCAAGCCGCTTCGTATGGACGCGCCCAGATGATTGTCGGGCGAATCGTCTCGGGTGTCGGAATGGGTATCGTCAACTCCACTGTTCCTGTTCTTCAGGCCGAGTTCAGCCCCAAGGCAAGCCGAGGCATTTGTAAGTTGGAACTTTCCCATTCATGCATTCGAGGTTGTCGGGCATCTCGACCGAGTTTAGATGCAAGACACTGCATAGAGCTTCGCTAACGTCAGGAATTACAGACGTCTGCGCACAACTTTCTACCCTGAACTTTGGAATCTTCCTCATCTACTGGATCGACTACGCCTTCTCGTCACATCTTGAAAGCTACGCCTGGAGAGTTCCGGTTGCTCTGCAGTGCATCTGCATCCTGCCAATGTTTATCATTCTGCAGCTCATACCAGAGACCCCGCGGTGGCTCGCGTCACACAACCGCTCAGATGAATGCCTAGCCGTCCTGAAGCGCCTCAAGTGCGACGAGGATGAGGACACAATCTATGCTCTGCACAACTCGATCACGCAGACGGTATCGTACGAGGCCGAAAACAGCGCGAGTTCGTGGCGAGATCTCTTGGTGCAAGACCGTATTCAGAGCCAGAGGAGATTCCTCATCGCGTGTTTCTTACAAGGTGCACAGCAGCTCGGAGGAATCAATGCTATCATCTGTGAGTCGCATTCATGACTACAATTATTTCTGTCTCTTTGGATAAGATATACTGACGGCTGTCCCTACTGAAGACTACAGCGGCACCCTATTCGAGAAGAGCATCGGTTTCGATAGTCACATGTCGAGCCTCATGTCTGGATTCCTACAGACTTGGTTCTTCGTTGCCTCGTTTATTCCGTGGTTCTTGATCGATCGCGTGGGCAGACGACCCTTGGTAAATATTCATCCCCCTTTCATTTCCCCAAAGCGTGATGGGAAAAAGTCAAATTAACGAGATCCGACAGCTCTTGTCCATGATTAGCGTCATGGCGGCCGTCATGGCAGTTCAAGCAGCTCTCATCTACCAGGTCCAGAACTCTACTGCCATCGCCAAATCAGCTGGCATTGGCGCTGCGGCTATGCTGTTCGTTTTCCAGGGTGCCTTTACCATCGGCTTCCAGGCAACTGTCTGGGTTTACCCGTAAGTTTCCTCATCTAGCTGTTCTGCGCTTCGTGTGGAGTTTTTGCGCTAACTGCCGTGCTCGTATTACAGGTCGGAGATTTTGCCTCTGCGGATTCGGCAACTGGGCTCGTCCATTTCCAGCGCAACCAACTGGATTTTCAATTACGTGAGTCACCTCTAAATAGACCGAAAACAATGGGCAGCTGCTTACCAACTTGAAAGATGGTTGTGCAAATTACCCCAATCTCCATTTCGAGTATTGGATGGCGCACTTACATCATCTTTGCGGTTCTGAACGCCGCGTGGGTGCCCGTCATCTACCTGTTCTTCCCTGAAACCAAAGGATTGGAACTGGAAGATGTTGATCGCCTATTTGCCGGCGATGACTTTGAAAATACGAGCCATGATAGAGACAGCAAGCACGAAGTCTGGGATATCGAAGACGTTAGGGCTTAGTTGTGGTCGTTCCTGGGTCAAGACTCAAAGCACAGATTGGGAGCCATTGCGGCCAAAAAAAAGGGGGGGCACTGGATGTAGATTTCCTGAGTGAAGTTGACGTGAAATTCTTGGTAAGAATGAAAGCAGAATTCTGAAATCGATCATCTGTGGTATGGCATCTTCTACGTTTGCTGGCAATCTTCATGCAGTTGCCCTGGCACGGCCAAGACCAGCCAGTCTCATAAAGTGGATTATTAAATCCCGTTTTCATGGCTCAACTGGCGAGAGGATCATCTTTTGGGTGGAACTGATATTTGAAAACTTCTCTGAGAGCCAGAAATTCACCAGATGGGGAAGGGCTCTCGATACTCATCGACCTCAATACATAAGAGTCGAACTTCCTGTACCCTGACTCGGTGACGCGGGTTGGACTGCAACTAGCATGTTAATAGTCTACACTCTACAGCAGCCGGTTGGCCTCCGGTAAAACTGAAATTATCTTGACGCGCAATCCCTGAGTAGACTAATACGATCAATATTCGTAGTCCCCTCCTTGTGTAAAGGCCGACCCGTGACTATGCACGTGAGGGAGACGCAGTTCTTGAGACATTTGCCGAACGCAGGCCGAACACTGGCCACAGACCCACGAACTCTATCCTGTGACAGGAACAGGTGCATCGTGCCCGCAATCGTGCCCCGCATCCGTGCGACCTGGAGACACAAAAACACGCCAACTGATTGCTCTTCAACCGCCGTCCAACCGTTGAAAACGTCGACGCCAAGAATTTCCGCAGTACTTCTCGAAGAACCTTCTTGGCAATTGAAGGAAATACGACGTTAACTGTCCTAATCATCTCACCACAATACTCATCTTCAGCTTCTCGCAATGGCTAACTTTGTCGTTTACGACGACCGAGTCAAGAAGCTGTTCGGCTCCGCACCGTCGCTCGAGTTATTGCACGAGAACCAGGACTACCCTTTCGCTCACGAGGCAGGCGTCTTCATTGAGCGCAATAACACGCTCTTCATTACTAGCAACCAATACAACGACCATGCGGCCGGCGGTCGCAAAATTCAGATCTGCCGCGTCACGCTACCATCCGATGGCAGTTCCAAGACGAAGTGTGAGGAGATTAACCCCGCCATCATAACGATGGCCAACGGAGGCGTCAACTACCTGGACGGGGTCGTCTTCTGCGCTCAGGGCACGCACTCTGCGCCTGGAGGCCTGGTCTTTATGGAGGCGGAACCGCCCTACCAGACCCGTATGATGGTCAACTCATTCCACGGACGGGAGTTCAACTCTGTCAACGATGTTGTGGTGCACAGTGACGGCTCTTTGTGGTTCACCGACCCGATCTATGGCTATGAGCAGGGTATCCGGCCGAAGCCGAAGCTTCCCAATCAAGTTTACAGATACGACCCCATCCGTGGCTCGATTAGGGCTATGGCTGATGGCTTTGGTCGGCCGAATGGTATCTGCTTCAGCCCTGACGAGAAGACTGTGTACATTACGGATACGGACTGGATTCATGGTGATGGCTCAACTGATCTCACACGAGCGTCAACAATGTGAGTTTTTATGGCATGGCTTCAAAACTAGGATACGCCACATGTATGAGATCCTGGCTGATAAATAACGGCAGTTACGCATTCGATTTGGTCCCATACTCAGGGGAGCCCTTCTTGACAAACAGACGTCTCTTTGCCATGGCTGATACCGGCATCCCGGATGGCATCAAGTGCGACGTACACGGAAATGTGTATAGCGGCTGTGGTGACGGTGTCAACATTTGGTCTGCCGGGGGTGTTTTGCTAGGAAAGATTCTTGTTCAGGGTGGTGCTGCCAACTTCTGCTTCGGCCGCAATGGAGAAATCTTCATCTTGAACGAGAACCGATTATGGAGGGCCAAGTTGGCAGATGACACGAAGGGAGCATTGTTGTGTATTTAAGCATAACGACGTTTAAGCATGAGACTGATTATAGGTGGCTGATCTGCGCCGAACGACAGTTATGACGTGATTAATACACGTAACCTCGTAGGCTGATGCACAACAGGATCAACGACCTCAGAGAACGGCGCTCCTCACTATGTCTTCTGTTCCAACAGCCACTGAATGCCCTTTACCGTATCTTCCACGAAGGTCTTGCTCTTCTCCAGGAGTGGCCAATTGGTCCAAAAGTAGTGAGGTAGCCCAGCATACATATCAAGCTTCGTTTTGACTCCTGCTTCCTCCCTCAGAACCCGCTCATAGATAAGGCCCTCATCTCGGAAGGGATCCAACCCAGCCAGCTGGAAGTATGCAGATGGCAGCCCCTTGTGGCCTTGACCGATTCTACCATAGTGGAACGGAATGAAGAGGGGACTCTCCAGGTCGGGTTGAATGATAGCACGCAGTGCCGCTTCCCCATCGCCGGCGGTGTTGCCGATGACGGGGTCTTTACACGGCGTAACAGAGGGGTGGCTGAGATACTCGGGACGGTATTGCTCGGGTATGGACTCGGGAGGAGCGAGACACATGATAGCTGGGACGCAGAGGTATTGTCCTGTGAGCGGCGGGGAGAGATTGTTGTCGCGGGCGAGGTGGGCGAGAACCGCTGTGATGTTACCCCCTGCGGAGCCGCCACCAATGATGAAGCCTTGGGAAGGGTCTGCGCCTAGTTCGGTTGCGTTCTCAGCGGCCTAAGACACGATACTTGGTCAGTCATGGTGCAATTGAGGAGAAGGTACAAATGAGCTACCCATTGCAACGCGTCCCAGCTGTCATTGACACCTGTTGGAAAGGGGAATTCAGGGGCGAGCCTGCATGAAGTTAGTATGGGTATCGAGCATTGAGGCTCAAACTGGAAACTTACCGATACTCGACGTTGATACACACTGCGCCGAGATCCCTACTGAACAGGCGGCAGTTCACCTCTTCATCGGAAAGATCGCCCATGTACCACCCGCCCTCGTGATACATCACAATGAGCGGGCTACCTTTGGAGGGGGCCTTCACGGGGGTATAGACCCGAATGGCGATGTCATGGCCGTCTCTCATGGTGACTTTGCGGTCTTCCTCGCGAACCTGCTCTGGAATGGAGCCGGGGAGATATCGCAGGTGATGGGACTCACGCAAGCGCGTCGCTCGATGTTCTCGCATCGCGAAGAAGTCATTTCGTCCAAAGTAAGGGTCTCCACGTTGCGGATCACGGAGAGGTCGGGCAGCGAGTTCCTGGCGACGAAGATGCGTTGTTATCATCTAGGTATGTAGGAATAAAGGGCAGTGGGCGGTGGGCTGGTGTGAACTTACGGCCTCGATTGAAAGATCGACTATGCCATAGGCGAGGAGTTCTTCACGAGTTCGCGGTGCCATAGCTCATAGTCTTGATCATATCAGTCTGGTGAGTTGCTAATGTGCCTTCATATGAACTTTTGCGGTGTTGTGCGGGGGCGTAAGCTGACGGAGCCCGTTGTGGACATGGCACATTGGAAACTTCAACGCTAATGTTGGGAAGGATCTCAGATTATCTAATCAGTATAAACACAACAAATCAGCTTATATGGGCCATTGACTTGAAGTTCCATTGGAAAATTGTCTTGGTTGATATAAGGATACTACTCGATGAATCTGTACCCTGCCCAAGTCCGCATAGTGCATTCGGAAAGAAGGCGCCTTGGTTGCCTAGAGTAACATAGCCCACCCAAAGGTGTTTCAAAGCCGTGAACCAACGGGTGAATGCACAAATTTGCGGAAAATTTTTGATGGATGACATCCGCTGAAAACAACACCTTTGACGGTGCGGGTAATCGTTCAGACTGGATGAGCTATGTTAAAAGAAGGGAGGCCAGCACTGTTGTGCTCCATCAACCAGTAGTCCGCGATGATATCCTTTGTATCGCAGGATGTATAGATGATTGTGAAGAACAACAAGCACCTGTTGGTGTTGTGTTTCATACTGAGGGAGGCTTCCAACACCATTGGCCACGGTGAACGGGATTGCCATCGAGTTCTCGGCCCCCAATGCTTCTGAGCGATGGTTCAAGAGACAAGGGGCTTCGAATCACCAAGGGAACGGTCGAGAAAGCGATTGACCGAGCTGTCCACACCGAGTAATTGGCTGGCATACGACAAGGCGACCAGTTGCCTTGCCAAGCCCTGGAAGAAAGGAACCCAGAGTTGACGCGGACGCGCCACCAAGCACGCGTGATGTGCTTGATACCCTTGCTAGAAGTGTAAACAGCCTACACACCTCTTCTTTGGGGCCAATAGAATTAAGAGCTAATGTGGGATCGTAGGACATGTCCTGCGCTTTGCTGCGCTTTGCCGCCGTGAGCAAGGTGATTTGCGATGGACTCAGAAGTTAGAAGGCGTTGGGGCGTGTGTAATAGTCTTTAGAAAGGCGTTTTCGGAGTGACTGTTTTCGTGGAACTCCGTTCTAGCATTCTGTAATTTGAAGCCCGTAACGGTATTTAGTGATGATTCCAAGAATTGGTTGTGATTTGGAAGCTCTAAATGCTGCGTCCGCCAGTGTGGCGGTGTTTCCGGTGACCCTTCACTTGCTCATATGCCCCAACTATCCTTCCTATCACTAAAAGAGACTCACGTGGAATAAATCAGGGGCTCGGGTGTATCAGAACGACGGACCATCGGTAATCTCCCAGTGAAGCCTGTTGGGAGCATGTTGTAGCTACTGGCCAAAGGAGACCTTGTCCACAATGCGACATGTCTCCTGCATCCTGCCACACCCTCACGAAGCTACGGCTAGGCAGAGCCATTGATTTCTCTGCATTTCACGATACCATTAAGAAGAGAGATAATCGAATGGCCGAGATTAATCCAAGAAGGAAAAAGAAAAAGGATATAGACACTAGGGCTTTAATTGTCACTGTTATCGTGGGTTAGTCCTCAATATATTAGGGTCCCAAAAAGCTAACAGCTATTTCATGCTCCCCCTTTGACTTTGTAGAGTCGATTTAGGACTCCGATAACCGCGCCTCGCACTTTCTCTTTCACTCTCTCCTCTTCGGATTTTCTGCACGTCTTCAACCTGGATGAGTTACGGCGATCTTGCACATCCACAACTCTTCATCGTTTTCTAGAGTCTTTCAGAACGCCCCGAGGAAGTGAAAGTTGTCAAAAAGACTCTAGTCACTCTTACTCAGGTACGAGCTAGCGGTGGACAATCAAATTGACTAACAAAATATACTCAGGCTGGCGGTACCGCAGTTCCGCTGGCTAGATTATTGTCAATTATTGAGCTGCAAGAGCTGACTTTCACAAATATGCAGAAGCTTATGACTTCGTCAGAGATGGAGCAGCCCGTCCAGCCCGTCCAGCCCGTCAAGCCTTCGACCGAGCACAAGCCCAACGACGCTGAGGCGGATAAACCACAAGGCTCAATGGAACCTCAACCTCCCCGAGAGACAGAACTGTGAGTCCCAACACTATTTCCATCTCTTTTTGCTTCATCTCAGCTAAATCAATTGCTGTAGACCCTCCGAATCTTCACGACGCCAAGCCTCAAGCACAGTTGCTGCACAATGCGGCTCTGCACGATCGACTAAAGCCTCACATGAAGAGGAGAACACAACTTCAAAAACCGATCAAAAGAAGGACTCGAAAGACTCGAAGGACTTGAAGAAGAAAACACCTTCAGATGAAAGTAAATATCTAGGTATTACGAAAGAATTGGTATCCCAAGCTGGCGGCCAATTTGATAACCAAAACACGGACCTGAGGCAGATTAAGTTGGATGTGTCTTGGTTAACCAAGTAAGGCTTCACGAGAGCACGACGCCTCAACTTAGCACCTTCAACAGCTCAAAGAGTTAATCAAGATGCCAACCCCAGAAAAGATGTTGTCCAAAATCAAAACGGTCCACTATCCACCTCACCGTCGAGGGTCTACCGTTGTCGACGGCTGTCGCGGCTCACGAGTCAGACCGGGATCCATTTTGCACCAAATCCACACTTTGATGGAGTCTTCCTGCGCCCTACGTCATCAAATGACATCATGCCGTCGCATAACCGTTGACCGAAGGTTTTCGGTCCTTTTCGCAGCCTCCCGTTGGTCATCTCGAAGAGAATCAATGAGCGGGCCGATAGAGTATTCCTTTCGAGGTCTGCCCCTCCAACCCCTCGATGTGGGTCATATCGGAAAGAAGTGTAGAGAGGAACGCCATTTCAAAGCCTCATGTTGAAGACAAGTGTCAGATCAAGAGGAGAGATGCCGTTGATACCAGATGATTGAGTATAGTTTCGGAGGAGTTGTCAGGAATATCCTTGACCTTTCTTGTCCACGCCTTGCTGTCATTGGCAACGAAGCTTGCGATAAGACATGCTCGACAGGGAAGTAAATGCAGCGCCGTATTCCTGAAACCTGTCTGCGCTCTTTTTTTGGAACCCACTTGCCCCTCCATCCATGATCCGCCCAGGGACCGTCGCGTTGTTCCTGAAGATGACCCCCACCTTTCACAAGCTCGCCGATCATTGAAAATCCGTCACCATCAGTAACAAAGTTTCTTTCTTTTCTCTCTTCACTCTGTTTTCTCCCTCGTATCTTCATCCTTAGAATTGTCCTTTCACATCCTTCAAGATGCCTCAAGTAAGTAAAGATCCTAGCTCCAATCGCTCAATCTTATGAGCTATCTCAAGAGCAATCCATCTAATCGCTCTCATGACAGATCAAGTGCCTCCTCTTCGACTGCGATAACACGCTCGTTCTCTCCGAGAACGCTGCGTTCGAGGCCTGCGCCCAACTCGCCAACCAGATCCTCGAGAAGTTCGGCTTCGAGAAGCGCTATGGCGGCACCGAGCTCATGCACCAGTTCGTCGGTCAGAACTTCCGTAGCATGATGACCGGCCTCTGCGCCCGCCACGGCTTCACCATCCCCGCCGACGAGTTCGACCAATGGGTCGCCAAGGAGCTCGACACCACCATCGCGAACCTTCGCGCAAAGGCCGAGCCCTGCGAGAACGTCATCGAGGTCCTCGAGAAGCTCCAGAAGGACAAGAAGTACCACATGGCCATTGTCTCCTCCTCTGCCATGCCCCGCGTCGTCGCCTCTATTGAGAAGACCAAGATGGACCAGTTCTTTGACAAGCCCGACGTCGGTATCTTCTCCGCTGCCAGCAGCATCGACCCCCCCGTCTCTAAGCCCAACCCGGCCATCTACCTCCACGCGTGCGAGAAGCTCGGCTACAAGCCCAGCGAGTGCATCGCTATCGAGGACAGCAGAAGCGGTGCCACCGCTGCCAAGAACGCCGGCATTCCCCTTTTGGGATACGTCGGACCCTACTACGAGGAGGGCCAGGAGAAGCTGGACTCCATGATCAAGCTCTTCAGCGAGGAGCTTGGCGCTTTTGATGTTATGCACAACTGGAAAGACTTTGAGAGCATCTTGGCCAAGTACGAGAGCTCATAGATACCCGGATACTCTTTATACCTGTTTTGAAACGAATAAAAGCGCGGCATAGGCTAGAAGCTGCGTGAATGAAATGTCACACATAGACTTATAGAGCTTGGAAAAATAGACACGAATTGAACGAACGCCTGAAGGTGCATCTCGGTGTCAAGAAACACGGTCGTAATTGATCCTCTCTCAGGTACATCTACTTCTGATTCTCGCGCTATCGGCTGAGATTGACGAGTACCTTTGACTTACGGAGGTCTCAAATGTTGATGGAGTACCTTTCATTGGAGACTTGGGAGCCACTAATTGACGACGGCGAATGGTGGGGTGTCCAGGTACGCGTTTATTCATAAGTAAGCCGCATGTAAAGTCTTCGTGCCTCAATTGATACTCTGTGAAGCCTAGAAGATTGACGGATTCTGTTAAGCCTCTGTCATCGTGATTGTGGTAGTCACGCGTACTGTGACGACCAGTGTCTGCGTTGGGTCAATCACCTGAGCTGGCTCTAGAGTCACTACCGAAGCAGACGCCGGAGCGATACTCGCCGTTGTCACGACATTGGTGAGGGCGACTTCGTCACGACAACAGCAAGCCGCAGTCACTGACTCTTTGTCGTTCTTGTCATCCCTCAGGGCCAAGCCACCCACAACGGCAGACGCCACACCTGTCAGAGAGGATATAAGTGTCAGCACTAGCGCCACGAGGCCGACCCAGTACAGTGTCCAATCACGGTATCGCCGACGGTCACGCAAGAATTGCCTGAGAGTCCGTGGAGAATAGTTCAGAAATTCTTTCTCCAATTCCAGAAGCCGGGGCAACCAATAGTTGTAGTTGGCAGCCTGTCTTGAAGCAACCGGCAGCTGCCCGGCACGAGGGTCGATTCCGCTCAACGACCTGAATCTGCGTGGCAGAGTGCGCTGAAACTTTTTGTAATAACGTTTGAACCATTCTATGCTCTCTAAATCGTTGTATGGGAGTAGGAGCGACAGAGTTTGCAACGTCTCCTTGATAAAGCTGGGGTCGATGAAGGATCTACTACCAGGCTTGTCTTGTCAATTAATTACATTCTGTTCATCATTTAGGTGTGAACAAACCTGCGACGGGTTCAATGTCTCATTCCAATCATGGATCCTCTCCATTGCAGACACATGGAAGAAAACAAGGAGAGTGATTCGATTTGGCCTTTTCTTGTGTTTTTGCACTAGCAAGTGTTCGAGAATATTGTCGGTAGGTTGTGTGACAAAGTCACCGAACTCTTGGAAGTCGCGTAAGGTGAATGTGTGGTCGAATACTTTACTATCCGGAGAGTCATCTTTTCCGGGAAGGATAGCTGTGCGGGCAGCGGTGATGGTATTCTCTTTGTCCCATTTGAAGTCATGCTCGCCTGGTGGCCGGCTCTCACCACCTGTGCTGAAACGATGCAGCAGCAAAATTTCGACGGCGAAATCAATCGAGTTGTAAATGGTATCTGTCTTATGAATGTTATTATTATATATTCTGGCGGAAGGAAGTTGTAATAATCATCATAAATCTGGCTCGAATTGAGGAGACATAGAAAGACATACTGGCGTAGTCGACAGCCTGTCAATATCAGATTGTGGGAGCCATTGTCTACTAGTACATAGATTCACGACCAGCCGCCCGATCTCTGCCCGAGGTTCTTTTCCGTTCTGTTTGACTACTTCGACGAGTTCTAGTAGCTGGCGAAAGGTGCGGATGATGTGTTGATTCTCGGAGAACACTTCGAGCTTTCTCTCCAACGCTAGGATGTAACTGTCCAGCTGGGAATCCGGTCTGGTTCACAGAATCAAGTCAGATATTATGGTTCATGAACGCTGCTGTATGGAATGTTCTACCCATGAAAATCCGAATAGTTGACTTGCCATATCCCGTTTGCCAGATCCTTGGCCAGTTCGTCCGAGATATGGGCCCTGTAAAGCTTGCAACCAATGCGGTCATCTCGAGTAAGCCGACTCATCGGAAAGAAAAAGGTGGACAGGCAGATTCAGAGATATTCATCATCGATTGTGGCGAATGTGCCTCTAGGTGCACAAAGTTTGACATGGATCGCTATATATAATATACAAAGCCACCGAACAGCGTCTTCGCATTGCTAGAAACGGCTGGTTGGGTATACCATTGAACTTGGCCCGATGCACCATGCAAGCAAGAATGTAGACCGCATAAATATTGGAAACAAGCAGTCACATCCGAAGACTCTGGCTATACCGCGAAAACGGCCAACCAATCTTCGGTCAAGTTGGTTGATAGTTATGCATGTGTGTTGATAGCCTGCCTACCTCATCTTGAGGCGACCTGCAGGTTCAGAATCAATTGGTCATGTCTAATACATATGGAAGTAAGCCTGACAGTAAATGGAAATTGAAATGCGGCTGGACAAAGAAAATTTTCGCGAGTGACAGCTCGTGTGGCCCGCTGATGCCTTGCATTGGCTGCCTGGTCTCTCACCGGATGAGAGTGGTGGGGGGGGGGGGGGCAGTACATGTAGGTAGGTCAGCGAGGCATTCTCATTTTCAAGGCACCAATAAGCAGTGGCGCTCGCGAGGGAGACCTTATGGAGAGGAGTTCCGACGTCACACAACAACACCCTCAACGGCGGAGATTCTCCGCAAGACATCGCCCACAACTATATATACGGGATGAACTTGACATTGATGCGCATCGATAAATCGGAGACTAATTTCTACATCAGCAACTTTTAGACATCTACTAGAGTCAAGAAGCCACCTTGTCATGAGCTCTGGTGCTATCTTACCACGTTCGAAGCAGGACCTTGGGCCATCTACAGATCGGCGGGGAATCAATGCCCAAGGCCGGCTCTCCAGTAATCAACCAAGCTTCGCTGTCTGTACAAGGCGAAAACTCATGGATCTGTTGTGTTGCAGATCTAATAATGCCGATACCGAAGCCTCTGGAGTACTTTCTGGCACTTCATACACGCCATACAATATCAAAGTTGGATACCGACATAATCAATCTCTCACTACTGTGAACGGCGAGACATTGTGGCATCTAGATCCAGATTCGGATGTCAACAAGTCGTGGAATCAATTAGAAAAGACAATAGATGCCTTCATTGCAGTTACCCCCGTCGACGAATATCAATTTACTCCAAGAATCGTTGTCGAAGCATACGAAATGGGCCGAAATGGGAATAAAACGCAACCAACAGTCCTCATCAGCTGCTCATCAAAGCCTTATGGGAAGAAGATGGCCAGAACATTGCAACAAAGTGGAGCCCTGGAAACTCACTCAGCAACCTTCCGTGTGGTCGTTCGGCCTTGACAATGTCATGTACCTGGGATGGCTAGTGTATAGGGAGATGTTCGGATATGGGATATGAAAAAAAAAATGTGTCGTTGGATCTGATTGTCTTTGTATAGTATTAGATAGGTTGTAGTACGAACCAAAGTAGTGAGCCTCGGTTTAGGAAGAAGAATACATGAGAACGGGACTCTCATATTTTGGTACTCAAATTTTACCTGGCGTTTGGGGCGCGGCCTTCAATTAATTTCAACCACTCACTTCACGATAAATCAGAGCCGCAGCCATCTTCTACCAATTGTGCGAAAAGTGGTCATTAATGATGAAACTAACAAGCGAACGCTACTCAATGCGGATGATAACTAGCGATATCATGGTGAAGAGATCCTTACTTTAATAAAAAGGACTTGTAAGTTCATTTGGGGTAAAATATCAAAACTCCAAAGATTACTGCCACGAAGTAGAGAGGGCGACACCAGCTGAGAAAAAGCTGTACCCTATATAGAGTAGCCAATGGGTCATTTTTAAAATCTAATCACTCGAAACCATCCCCAGCGTTGTCAAAATCCCGAACACAGGTTAGCCATGGGAAGCTTCTGGGTGAAGTAGTTGCGAAACGAAGCACGTCATTCTCTCCCAAACAAGGTTTCTAGACCGAACTTCTGGTCTGTGTGCCGCCGTTTGAAACCCCGCGGGGCCGCACTAACTCCATGTGCAGTCGGTACCGATGCGGCATTTCCTTTATCTCCCCGTTTCCACCCCGATTTATTAAGCCCAGTCGCATCCATTGAAGATATTCGTTTACAGAAGACTCAAGTGTTATCCTCAAAAATCAAAATGGCAGAAAAGTCATCGAGCAATCAAGAATACCTCGCCCAGCCACCGGCACCGTGTTGTTGGGCCGGCACCCTTCACGAAGGTAACCCCCGCGGCGATGTGGAAGACATCTTGGAGGTGCCCACTTACGTCGTCCGCCCGTCAGACGTGAAGCGCTCCCTACCGCCCAACGGACATGTCATCCTCTACTTCCCGGACGTGTGGGGCCTCTCCGTCAACGCCAAGTGCATCATGGACGGCTTCGCTTCCTCGGGATACACGGCGCTTGGTATGGACTTCTTCCGCGGCGACCCCATCTCCAAGTACCGCAATGCCAAAACCGATCCGCTGCCGGAGGGGTTTGACATGGCGGCCTGGCGCTCCAAGCACTGGAACTTCGCCACGGAAAATGTTCCCAAGTGGACAGTGGCCGTCAAGGAAAGATTTGGCGCCGAGTTGAAGGCTGAGACGGGCAAGGAGACCAAGTTCGCTTGCGTTGGATATTGCTTTGGTGCACCTTTTGTGTGTGATTTGCTCGCGGGGGCTGGTGGCGATGGGGAGCCGGTGGTTTCCGCTGGTGCATTTGCGCACCCAACGGCGTTGAAGGAGGAGCATTTCACCAGCATCAAGAGTAAGTTTGGCCGCAGCAAACCTGGGCTCTTCTTCGACTACTCTTCATTATTGTCGATGAGGCAGCGAACCTGGCGTGTACGAGTGCGACTGTATCGTCGTTGCCACTGCTGAACGCGATATTCCAACGTTATAGTTGAGACGGCTGACCCGATTTACCACAGAGCCTCTTTTGCTTTCGTGCGCTGAAAACGACCAAGCATTCCCGACCGAAGCAAGAAGAAAAGCAATTGACTTTCTTCAAAGAGAGAAGAAGATTTATCACCTTCAGGTCTTTCAGGGCGTCTCACATGGTTTCGCCGTGAAAGGAGATCCAACAGACCCTTACCAGCGTGAGTCTCAGCCGCCGAGATACTTTTTTCGTCATCTTGGATCATCTTGGCTAACCGAAAATCTCTCAGGTTGGTGCAAGGAACAGAGTCTTCGTGCCATGGTTGACTGGTTCGATATATGGCTGGTTCAAAGTGATTGAGAAGTTGATTAACTGGGAAGATGGCGAGCTCGTCGGTCGTTGCGAAGGTGTCACTGTGTTAGGCTGGCCAATATCGATTGACCCCCACGAATGGAAATGTTAATCAGGACAGCCTTTTCTGTATTTCCTAGTTGTATCATTAAAGTTTAAACTTGATTTAAGCTTGATACCGCAGGTGGGAAGAGTCGACAGGCTTGCGTTGATTGGGACATGGATCAGTCGCAATACTTGGCGCTGAAGTGAACTGCTGACCTTGGTCTAGTGAGCTACATTCTCGTTTTCGCGATTTGGAAATGTTGCCCGCGAGCTTTGTAGTCCGAGTTCATCAATAGCTGAACACATGGGATTACGATCCACGGATATCGCGGACAAGACCCCTACAAATCGAGAAACTGAGAGTCTGAGACTCATGCGACTGCATGGCTAAGAGCTAGGGCTGGATATTGTTGGGGCTCGGCAGTGGCCGATTACGCAGGAATCTTTAAGCTTGGCGGAGAGAGCCGTTAGGAAGAATGGGGAAGGTCGCCATGGCCAGGGTTCCATCGCGACCCATGGCTAATTTCGGGGTTTTGGCTTGGCTGTCCGGATAAGGCGATGCTTCAAGCATCAATACGAGGTTAACAGACCAGCTATACGATATCTACAGTCCTTGACAAGTTTGCGATAACTTCACCGAGGAGAAAAACAAGACTTTCGAGGATAATGCGTGTGATAGGGCACTTGTAGCCAGTTTCTTCGACGGGGAACTTGTTTAAATTTAGATCTAGTTGGTAGCCTGGACGAAATACTGGCCTTTCACCATTAACAGGAGCCGGCCGGGGTCGGATCTACCCGCGGCAACGGCGCCGTCGAGCTTCCTGAATAGGACATCGGCCCCGTGTCACGCAATGAGAATCCAGGTAGTCGTTCAACAACCCCAGACGACTCGGCCGACTCATGAACAGGAGATTCCGCAATCGCGATGGGCAAGATGGCTGCATTTAAAGGTCATTTGGTATCCAGCAGTCCCTCTCCTTCCTGAGAAGGTCATCATCGTCGACTTTCCAGTGCCAATCCGTGTGATCAACCAAGATGAAGGCATCCTCCCTCCTCGCCATCCTCGGCGCCGTTGTGCCCGCCCTTGCGGCGCCCAAGGGCGTCGACCGCCGTGCCGACACGGACCTCATGTCCGGCAAGTACATCATTCAGCTTAAGCCCGGCACCACGCCCGAAGCCGTCACCGCACATCACAAGGCGGTGCGCAGCCTCCTCCGCCGCCGTGACGGATCCGCAGGCACGGTGGAGAAGACGTTCCAGATTGGCGACTTCAACGCTTACAGCGGCAGCTTCGATGACGCGACCCTCGAGGAGATTGCCGCACTCGACGAGGTCCTATCCGTCGAGGTCGACCAGCCTATCTTTGTCGACCCCACCGAGCAGGAGTCGACGCTCTCTAAGCGCGACCTTACCACCCAGGCGAGCAGCATCTGGAGCTTGGGTGACCTGTCTCACAAGGCGGCTGGCTCTACCGAGTACGTCTATGATAGCACTGCCGGCGAGGGCACGACTGCCTACGTCTTTGACACGGGCATCCGTACGTCGCACTCTGAGTTTGAGGGCCGCGCCAGCTTCGGTATCAACGGTGTCACCGGGTCGACCGTCGCTCCCGGCTCCAACTCTGACACCGACGGTCACGGCACTCACGTTGCCGCGACGATCGTCGGCAAGACCTATGGAGTCGCCAAGAAGGCTAAGGTCATTGACATCAAGGTTTTTGACGGCTCTACGGTAATTACAGCATCTCCCGTCCACATTTCTCTGTGCTAACGTGTCCTTAGGGCTCCACCTCAGCCATCCTTACCGGCCTCAACTGGGCTGTCAACGACATCACGACTAAGGGCGCAAAGGGCAAGTCCGTCCTCAACATGTCTCTGAGCGCCAAGAACGTCTCGGCCCTCGACAACGCTGTTCTTGCTGCCTACAACCAGGGCATTCTCACCGTCGTCGCGGCCGGCAACGACAATCAGCCCGCCACCGACACCTCCCCCGCCAGACTTCCCGAGTCCTTCACCGTCGGCATGACGCGCCCTGATCGCGGCCGTGTCAACATCATTGAGGGTATCTACGGCAGCTCCTACGGCCCCGAGCTGGATGTTTTCGCACCCGGCCAGGACATCATTTCTGCTAGCTACAGCTCTGATACGGGCACGGCAACCAAGACTGGCACCAGCATGGCGGCGCCGCTTGTCGCCGGCTTGGTGTGCTACCTTAGGGGCTTGGAGGGCGGTCTTGTAACGCCCAAGGAGGTTACTGACAGGATCCTGGAGCTTGCTATCCCCGATGTCGTTGGTGACCCGAAGGGATCGCCGAACCTGTTGGTTAATAATGGCAGTGGACAGTAGATTGAGATGGGAAAGAGGTGAGTTATTAATTAGTATGCACATGCTATGGTTGCGTGAATAGAGATACCTCATGTAAAACATTCAGATTCTCTATGTATTTGTCAAGCGTCGTCGACGGTTACCTTGTACGGACATTGTGACTCAGTGCGTGTACGTGCCCTGGCATCGTTTCAGCCACATAGTTTGGTTGTAACTCATTAGAGATATTATTTACGAGCTGCAGTGTACCTGTATCTTCACGCCTCCCATTTCATGAATGACATTGAGACCTTCTGCTACTACAAGACTTGGTATACATGACAAGAATAGCTCCAATTGCAAAGGGTAATTAGAATGATCATGTAGCTCATCGAAAAGGAACAAGGTGAAAGTTTTTGTTATGAAAAGAAGATTTATCTCTAATCCAAAGCGCGTCCCGTTGGCATCTCGAGATTCATGACCTAGCCTGAGCAGTTCCTCTACACATTCAAATAATGGGAACGACCTGGTCCCATATTCCTGAACGGAGCATCTTTTCACTGTCCGGAGCTGTTCGGTATAAAATGGCTAGCATCAGACACCGGTATATGATGACATCGTCGGTGTCGTCATATGGACTCTCGAGCTCTTTCAGTCGCTCCCACTCTGGGCAGCTGTCCTCCAGGGATGAGTCGCAAGCTACTACGATGGCCAGTCGTTCTAGTATGCAGTAGATATTTACATAACATTGACTGACCAAGTCTTGGTAGCTGAAATAGCGTAAAAGGGCTGAGCGGTGCTCCGTTATCTTGTCTCGAACTAGTTTGATGTACTCCCGGTGCTCTGAAGGCATATCATTCCCTTCCCAGCCGATCTCATTCTCTTTCGAGAAATCCCTTATTTTTTCAACGTGATGGGAGGTTTTCTCATCAAGACCGAAGCTCTTCAGGAGGTCGCGAAGTTGATCTAGTGCATTGGAATGATGGGAATGCAGACAACTTGGAGCCTCTGGACCGCTGAAAGGTTTCGGGAGGAGATCTTCATCTGCCGCTCTTTGCGCCTTCAAAAGGATGACAGTCGTTTTGCAGAGAAGAAGGAGGCGAGAGTTGACGTGTTTGCGCTCTTTTGTCCCGAGCCAGCCCTGAACTTCCAGCAGCTGTCTGTGAACTCTGCGTCTAGTTTGTGCCTGATTTTCGGCTGAAGAAGTGGCAAACCACTCCAGGAAAGCGCAAGGATCGCGAAGAAAATTGATACAAACATGAAGTACCGCAGCGTCGCCTCGTACAGCGCCCGTACACGCCCCCCCCCCCCTCCCTTGTCTTCCGCATCGTGTTGATATCATTTTCGGCGTGTTTTTCGCGATCGATCTTGTTTTCTTGATTTTTCGAAGCTTGAGGTTGTTTTGCGAAGGTGTTGAGATCTTTCCGTTGATTCATGCCCATGCGATAAATAACCTCGGCCACAGTATGATCACATTTCATCAGGAGATAGCCAAGCTTTACCCAGTGATAATCGTCATAATCTTCATCTTTGTCGAAATCATCCACACTCAGCACCACATCATGTCCCCAATCATGGTGAAACCCTTCCCATGTTGGCTTCTCCTGGCCAATCGGCCACTCAGGGGGCATAGAGTTGTGGAAAGCCCCCAGGCGCGGTGCTGACCAATACTTTCCATTGAGTCCCACCAGTGTTAGAGGTAATTTCGTTTTGAGAATTGAAGCCGGGAAGAGCGAAGGAGCGTACGCCGGTGTAGCAGCAAGAAAGAAGATGATGATCGGGCAGTAAGCGTCCACGTCATTCAGACCGTTGAGACTTGGAAGGGAATGATCTCCACTGCGATTGCGATCTCCCAGTCGTTCAATAAGTTGAAAGCGGTGGGGTTCTTTGTACAGGTTGAGTGAAGTTCGCGGTACCCCCTTGAACGAGGTTATCATGCCCTCTTCAAGACCGATGTCACCGCGACAGTGTTTCATAGCCAGGCTCAGCTTTCCTGGTGGTGTAGAAACTTCTGACTTTGTGTATCTCGCTCCGTCTTTCTGGTCTGTGTGAGTGTTCTCATCATTTACGCCCAGAGTGTATTGCGAGTATGCACCAATGATGCCAAGGGTAGGGTGTCGCCGAAAGTCGAACTGAAATTGTCTTCCCAGAATTACTGGGTAAAGAGACTTGTCGTCAGTCATCTTGATTTGAGCACCTGTCGCAGCTGCAGCTGCAATGATAGCTCCAACCTGCCCATACGCAGGAGCAGCAATCAGATCATCTGGCAAGTAGTCTGCGGTGACCGACTGCAATCGGTCTTTGTATTTTGAGTCATCAAGATATTCGAGACCAATCTTTTCAAAAAAAAAACCCCCAACCCAGGTGGCAGCTGGGTT